CTAAACAAAATGACCACAAAATGATCAGCTTTAAAAAAGGACTCGTAACTGGAAAAACCGAATGAGAAAAGAATGTTAACAACAAATACATTTTCACACCCAACCCAGTTCTGCGGAATCAGAATTAACGTTGAGTTTAAGCAAGCGAATAAGCCAAGTAGAGTAAAGTGCCATGCAGATTTACATTTTTCCCACTTGTGAGGAATGCAGATACCAATTTTTTTGCATGCTAGCATGCTAGTTAACATTCGTGTCGGTCAGCTGTTGGCTCTCACGCTGGCCAATAGAATCTCCCTGCCTATCACTCTTTCCAGTACAAAATGGTCACAAACTACATGAATATATATATATATATATATATATATATATATATATATATATATATATATATATATGTTTAAATTCCCAGAACAATTCTGTGGACAAGACAAATTGGTATAAAATGTAACTATAACAAAAAAGATATTTCGTTTTCATTTTTGTAAAGAAAAGTCGGAAATTTGAAAGGTCGGCAAAATCTAAGATTTTTCTTAATTGTCATTTTATACCATATATATATATATATATATATATATATATATATATATATATATATATATATATATATTTAGTTATATACACACGCATATATATATATATATATATATATATATATATATATATAATCATTTATTCGAAAATTAATCAGGTGATGGTGTTTAATGTAGAATAAAGCTTTATTCTACATTCAACCCCATCACTTGATAAGACACAAGAAATGCTGAAACAAAATGCCGATTTTTTGTGATTTTATAACATGTTTTTGTTATAATTTTCGAAAAATTATTATATTTTACTCTACTCTGTATTGAGAAATCTTTTAAGAATAGTATTTGTTGGTTATTGGAATTTATTTATTACCAATCCAATCTTAGTATATATATATATATATATATATATATATATATATATATATATATATATATATATGTTAAAAAAAGAGAGATAAAAATTTTTGCGATATCTCTGTTCTTCTTAATATACACACTTTTCTCTCGTTGGAACCACTATAACCTCTTCCTTTTATATATATATATATATATATATATATACTTTACATTCACACTCATATACATATGTCATTATATATATATATATATATATATTGTCTGTCGTTTTTAATGAAACATGCATAAAGGAAGGATTGCAGCCTAAATATACAAATATATATATATATATATTGTTACGGTTTTTTGGGTATATAACGTATATAACTAGTGAGCGAGTCAGAATGACTTATTCCCCTTTATAGTCGACCAATGGGAGGTTGACCAATCAGAAGCCGCACAACACTGTATTCATCGTGTATAAAGGCGGCCATCTTGTTTCGTCTACCGGAAGGACCCAAAGGCGACCAGGAGAAGGGATGAACTATACTCTGCTGTGATATCCACTGCGAACCTTCACTACGCGTTCCCACTGTCTCCGAAATATTCACTGCCAACCTTTGATTCAATACTCAAGGACGACCGTCATGGAGTGTCTATATATATATATATATATATATATATATATATATATATATATATATATACAGAGAAAGAGAAAGGAGAGGGAGACACACACAAAAATAAGACAAATGCAAACTCACCTTAGCTGAGGCGATGGCAGCAGAACGAATTTAGAATTGTGCAGAAACATTTTGTCTGCCTATTTACAACAGAGGAATACATTCTTACTAATTGTGATGACAATGGCAGCAGGACAAAACATACTGCAAACACAACAAAGGACTTCATCAGGGGAAAAAAGTGGTGGTTTTAGACAACCCAAATCAATCCACGCAAATGAGCATGCATTTCATCTTGAAAGAACTGAAAAGAGGTTGCGTTAAAAAATCTGAAATAAAACCCCTCACAAATGACGAATGCGACAGTTTGGTGATTTCGCTGGAACGCGGGCGTGTTGCATTTACTGCAAGCAAGTGTTATGCAAAAAAATATTACAGGTTCCTTCACTTTTGCTCAGCTAAAATGGGGTGATCTCACACATAACATGGCATGTCCTAAGCTGTCTAGATAATCTAAATATAAATACCAGGAATTAACGGCTAAAATTATGAACCCTTGTCTCATATGCATCTTTTGATCTTAAACACAAATGTCTTGAGTGAACAACAAAAACAAATTGGCCTTACCTTTTCAATACTTTTTGATGGGGACAACATATATATATATATATATATATATATATATATATATAAAAGTTATGAAAAACTTGGTAATCCCAAGGAGGATGAAATCCTGAGAGCTCAATGTAAATCCAGAGCTAATATTTTAAAGAAAACAGACCACTTTAAGGTACCATTATAATAATTTATTTCACCAGAGCCCTTTTAAAGAACGCCGGATCATTAGATAGCACTTCCAAAAATCAAACGAAAAATGAAATGAAACTTTGATGGGTAGTAATAATATATATATATATATATATATATATATATATATATATATATATATAT